TGTTTCGGTCCCTGGAGCTCCGCAAACATTGTTCACGGCCCTATATCTCTACGACAGTGAGGAACTCTCTGACAGGAACCTCGCAATCCTATCAGCAGTTGGATCCAGGCACAGCGAGTTTGCTGGCCCACATTGCATTGGAGGAGATTTCAACATGACGCCTGAGGTAGTGGCCGACTCGGCAGTGCCAGGCTGGTTGAAGTCTAACGTCATTTTCACTAAGGATGGGACTTGTACTAGCACTGGAGGAGTTCGTACGTTAGACTTCTTCATCTTGTCTGCAGGCCTCAGCCGCTGCTTGCAGTCTGTCGAGACGGTGCTCGGCACCGACATCAAGACGCACACCCCCGTTCGCATCCTTTTCCACCCGCAGTTGGCTGAGCTCAAGGCCCTCCAGTTCCTGAAGCCCCCGAAGCTTCCAGCAGAGAGACCAGTTGGCCCTCAGCCCCACCCTCCTGACTGACCTCTCGGAGATCTTGGACTGCGCCAATCATGGCATTGATCTTGTCGCTCGGAAGGCCCCCAGAGGCCAAGTGCAGCGGCACCTCGACACGCTGCATCGCCTATGGGCGGATACTGCCGAGTGGGAATTGTCCCAGGTCCTCCAGACGGACCTGTCGATTTGTGGTACTAGGGGCAGGCGGCCTCGGCTGGCCTGGGTCTCGGCGCTCGACAGGGACTCCAAGGCCTCCTACAAGGACCCCATGCTGTTCGCAGGGAGATGGCTATCCCGATCCATTCGGTTTCTCTTGGGCGCCATGTCCGACGGTGACGTTTTGACGTTCAACAAATACAAACATCATATCCTGGAGGCGCCCCAAGATATTTTCAGTGCTTTGGGAGATCTCCTGGAGTTATATCGTGAATGTTGTGTCCTGGTCTTGGGGCTTGAGGGAGTTCGTGCTGATTCAGGGGGTCTTCTTGAATTTCAAGCTCGTCTGGAACCCAGATTAGATGAGTATGCTAGGGCTTCCTCGCAGCGATCTTTGAAGGCGTGGCGTAGCTGGCTACTAGACGGCATCGACAAAGGTGGTCGTAATGCCCATCGTTGGACCAAGGAGTTGAAGCCGTGGGTCGCGACTACCACGCTCTCGGCCGATGGGGCTCGTCCTCTCGGACCCTCTTTCGCCCCCCCAGGCGGAGGGGGCTAGGTTTGGCGAACTTTGGAACTCGAAGTCCCACCCTCCTGAGGCCTCCAAGGAGCCCATCGAGTACTTGGAAGGCCTAAGCCCCCTCACGCCGGAGGATCTGATCACTGTGAGTAAGTCCTACGCGACAGGTACTGCCACAAGTGTGGATGGCTTCCACATGCGTCATTTTTCGATGTTGCAACCAGGCCCCCTGTCTGTTCTGTGCACGCTCTACTACATGATGGAGTGTACTGGGCTCATGGCCCACCAGACACAGGTGTTGATCACTCTCCTCCTCGCCAAGCCAGCAGGAGGTTATCGGCCGATCGGCGTCTTTTCAGCGTATTATCGTTTGTGGGCGAGAGTTCGCCGCCCATACGCCGAGCGATGGGAAGCCGAACATCAGCGGACATACTTAGCTGCTGGTTCCTTCAACTCTGCCCTCGACGTTGTATACAGGCAAGCTGTCAAAAACGAACACTCGGTGGGGAACGGAAAGGCGGTTGCTAAGATCCTTTGGGACCTCTACAAGTTCTATAAATCGGTTCGGCCTCCTAAGCTCGCGGCGCGCTGCGAGGCCCAGAGTTTCCCCAAGCAGATTTACAGGGTCTCGATGAAGGCCTACGGAGGTGCTCGGTTTATTTATCTCGGGGGCCTTTTGCATGGCCCGCATTTCAGTGAGCATGGAATTGTTGCAGGATGCAGTTTCGCTACTACGTACATTAGAGCATACGTTATCCCCACGATGGACCTCCTGAGGCTCCCCTACCAGGTTCAGCTCGACATCTACATAGACGACTACGGTATTTCTAGCAGTGGGTCTGGGAAGTCTGTAGTGTCTTCGTTGAAGTTGGCCTCTACCGAGTTGCTCATTGCCCTCGAAGAGGACATGGAGTCGCGCATCTCTGACGAGAAGGCAGCAGTTGTATCATCGGTCAAGTGGGTCGGCCAGGCAGTCAAGTCTTTCTTGGGGAGGTACGGAGGACCTTCCGCTGACTGCCACACTGCCATCAACCTTGGGATTGACGACGGCGCTGGTCAGGCGCGTCGTGCCAGAGGTCGCGGTCGCAAAGCTGCTGCTCGCTTTCGTGTTTTTTTCGTCAGAGAGTCAAGAGGGCTTTCAAATGTCGGCAGGCACTTGGACGTCATTCTCGTAAAATATTCGTGTCTGGGCCTGTATCATCGGTTACGTATGGGGCGGCAGTCTCTGGGACGTCTGATCATGAAATGGGGCTCTTGAGGACTGGTTTCGGAAAGGCTGTCAAACCATCGGCTAGCTCGAGGTCCCTTACGGCCCTGTGTATTCTCGAGAACGACCCTTTATACCATGCTTCCATCGCACCAATCGCTCGGTACTCCAGGGAGATTTGGGACGCCCGGGTTCAGCAGACTCCTTTCGCCCTAGCATTTCGCGAGCTTCGTGCAGCTTGGGAACTTGTCTGGGCTAGCCCACCTACCTCGTGGCGCAGGGTACGCGGCCCCATGGGCGCCATGTTTCTTTCGCTCAGCCGTATAGGCTGGTCCATGACATCTCTTGCGCAGCTGAAGAATGACCTTGGTGTTGAATAGTCCTTGACCATCAATTCCCCCCAGCTCATCAAGCAGTTGCTGCACGAAGGAGTGGCCAGGATGCTATGTCGTGCTTCTGGCCAGAAGCTCGGTCTTCAAGGCCGTGCATGCTACGACGCTGTGATCAGAGACTTGCGCAGCTCGAAATACACTTATTTCGAGAAGGGATGCATCCGCGCCAATGCCTGTGGAGCCTGTTGGACCCAGGAGAAAGCCTTGTCCCTCGGATACCAAATCCCCGAGGTCCGTTGTTCTCTGTGTGGCGGCCCTTCGGACTCGACTTGGCACAGGTTATGGGTGTGTCCTGCGGTCGACGATCTCAGGAAGGAGCTTTGTGACCCCGAAGTGTTGCAGGCGAGTTCCGAGGTGGACTTAGCCACCGTCTCGAACGACCAGTTCGTGCTGTTCACGAAAGGGATCTTCACCCACCCCAGCGAGCACCTTCCGATGCCCTCCAGAGAGTGCCCCCCCCTATGGTCCATTGGGAAGCTCCTCGGCATGATGAATCGGACGAGCAATTTGTCTCTGGGAGTGTTTTCTTCGACGGATAATGTAGGAAGCACGCAATTAAGGAACTCAGCAGGGCAGGATGGGGTTTAGCTGTATACGATAATGATAAGGATTTGCAGCGTGTCATGTGGGCCTCCCTCTGGGACAGGTTCCCCCAGACCTCCCAAGCGGCGGAGTTTGGGGCCCTGGCCTACGGGTCTCTTTGCCTCCTTGGGCCCTCTGAAGGTTTCAGCGATTGCCTCAATGTTTGCAAAGCTTTTCTTTTGGAGAGGCCCAAGCGTCTCTCCTACAAGCGGCCGTACTCTGGGCTAATGATTAATACCCTTCAGTCTAAGTTGGCCAGTCTTCACAAGGTGAAGGCCCACGTGGCGGATTCCCCAGATTTAACGGCCGATCAGCGTTTTTTCAAGCTTGGTAATGACGAGGCCGACACAGCGGCCAAGCGAGGAGCGGACATGCATGCCAGAGGTTCTCAGGCCGAACTGGATTCTGTGGACTGGCAACTCAAGGTTGCCAAGAGCGTTGGCCTGCTGGCAGCCCGTCTCCTCCCGTCTTGGCCTAGGCTCAACCTCGACGGAGTAGATTTTATCGCCCCTGCCCGTGTTTTGGAGTTGCCGCCCCCTCCTGCGGAGCAGTATCATCATGAGTGGTTGTGGTGTGCCACGTTCTGGCGTTGCAGCGTTTGTCTCCGCAGCCGCAGACAGTCTGTGAAGCCTGATCTTTCAGGGTGCTCGGGCCAGCTCCCTGACGTGGCCCTTTCCATACGGGATAAGGGCCACGTTATCACGGCCCTTCTCTGTTCGAATCAAAGCATGCTTTATTTGTGTCATCTCTGCTGCGGGTACAGCTGCGGTGGGAGATTCAAGAAGCTCAGTAAGTCTTGCATCCGAGAGCCCGAGGGGCCCAGGAAGTCAAAGTACGCGTCCTCGGTCCTGAGGGCGCTGCGGAGGGGGAGACACCCCAGACTGGCTGGAGTTTTCTGTGAAGTGTTCGACCCTGCCGCCGAAGCGAGCGAGTCTGAGGCTGTCGATCGGGCCGAGCCTGTAGGGCTTTCCCAGGCCTGCAGGCAGCTTCGGGGGGGGGGGTGAGCACGCTCCAGACCAGCATCCCCCTTCAGACAGCTCGGACTGACCGCATCAGGCGGGTAAACTAGTCCGAGCTTTTCTAACTCAACCTGAGCTGGCTCGGGTTCAGGGCGCCTGTCAAAAAAAAACTGGGGTCTTCGACCACAACTCGCCCAGCAACTCTCCTGTTGAGGACCTCCGCGCCCTGCAATCGGTTGCCGTTCTTCATGTCCGCCAGGGCGATGAGGTCGAAGTTCCCCGCCTCCGTGGAAATTTCTTGTAATCTGGTGTCGCCAGAAGACATCAGGTTGTATCCAAGAGAACGCAGCATAGCGCGCGTGCTGTCCCGCCGCTGGCGAACATGCGGGTTGGGGGGGGGAGGGGGCAGCACCGAAATGCCCTACATCTCTGATGTATGCCTCGCCCGAGACTAATTGCTTGGGCCTCGGGGGCTGGAGGCGAAGGAGGAGGGGGAGGAGGAGGAGCAGGAGGGGGAGGACGAGGAGGAGGAGCAGGAAGAGGAGGAGGAGGAGGAGGAGGAGGAGAGGGAGGCGGGGGAGGAGGTGGAGGAGGGGGAGGAGGAGGAGGAGGAGGAGGAGGAGGAGGAGGAGGAGGAGGAGGAGGAGGAGGAGGAGGAGGAGAGAGAGAGAGAGAGGAAAAAAAAAAAAAAGGAGGGGGAGGGGGCGGCTGGGAAGGGCACGGACGACCGCCCCGCGGCGAGGCCCGCCTCGATCGGGCCGTGCAGCCCCTCTTTGAAGTTGTTGATGTACACCTCGGGGGGGCGGCGGCGTCGCCGACGTCGTCACTTCGGTTGTCTGCGGGGCGCTCCTGGAGGTGATCGTCGCCACGGCTGGACACGGCTCGCAAAACTCGTCGGGGTGGACCCCAGGACGGGCCCGGGGACCGACTCTGAGCCGATGGCGACGGTGACACAGAAGGGGAGCGCGGGCAGGAGGAGGAGGGCAACAACGAGGCAGGTAGATGGGGGGTGGGGGGAGCTCTGGGGCGCTCTTGGGAGTCCAGAGGGGGGAGTCTCGGAAGCTCCCACAGGTCCATGGGAGACAGGGGAGGAAGATGGGGCAGGGGAGGAACAGCAGCAGGACGAGGAAGAACGATGAGGACGCACGAGGAGGTCGGCTGCAGCTGCTGTCCTCCGCCGTCCTCCCGCACTCACCCCCAAACACGCCCACCGCCGTGCGAAAGTAGCCTGGTATGTACTTGTTTGGTCTGCGGGTCGAGAGCGAGCCTCTTCCGGTTAAGAGCTAGGCGGGCCGCGCAAAGCACTGATTGGGGAGACGGGGCGCAGGCGGGCGGGCCCTCGGGCGGCCGGAGGGCGCGGTAGCCTGGTATATACACGTCATAGGGTGCGTGCGCACAAGCACAACCAATCCAGCGCGCCTGCCAGAGAAGAGTTGCATCCCTGCCGTCCCACCTTTCCTCGAACGTCCCCCCCTTCTTCCGCGCCCCTGGGTCTGAAGGGGGCGGTCGCGGGTCGTTAGAGCGTCCATGATGGCACAAGGCGCTTCCAAGAGGGTACCAGATACTCCAAGGTGGCTTTTCATATCGCTCAAGATAGCCTTAGGTGGGGCCTGTACCCCTTCAGGGGGATTTCTGGCGGAAAGTTAAGAAGAGCCAAAGATATTCAAGACACCACTCAGCAATACTCAAAAAAATAGTCCCAATACTACGTTTGACTATGTTTGAAGATTCCTTCTGTAGAGGGACAGGCCCGACTTAAAGATAGCCCAAGGATGTTCGAGATAGCCTCCAGCCAGGATGCCTCGAGACCATCCCAAGACGGCCCGAAGGGGCCACGACGATTCCCAGGGGCACCCCTGAGAAGCTCAAAACCTGAGAACGCCAAGTATGCTTCCTTCCTTCATACCGTTTCGCTTCCGATGGGTTTCTGAGGTATCAAGGCGGCTCCTAGATCTTCCACGAGAGACCCAAGAGGGCCCAACGGGACGCCAAGAACGCCCAAGAACGCGCCGAGAGCAGCTCCAGAGGGCCCCCAGACGCGAGTTGTCGGCATTATAAACCAAAGGCAAAAACAAAACAACGCAAAAAAACGTCACCTGATTTTTGTTTGACAATGTTTGAACACTCCTCCTGTAGTGGGCCGTGCCCGACTTAACCCGAGGCCCCCAGAATGGCATACAAGAAAGCTCAGCAAGAACCCACGAAAGCCCCAAAAGGCCTCCAAAATGGCCACAAGGAGGGCCCCAAGATGGCCCCCGGTAAGCCGCGAGAGGCTCCCAGAGCGAGAGGTCCACAAAGACATCTATGGTTGACTCCTCCTCCTCCTCCTCCTCCTCCTCCCTCCTCCTCCTCCTCCTCCTCTCCCTCCTCCTCCTCCCCCTCCTCCTCCTCCTTCTCCCCCTCCTCCTCCTCCTCCTCCTCCTCCTCCTCCTCCTCCTCCTCCTCCTCCTCCTGCTCAGGTTGATCCCGATGGTCGATTCGACGACTGCCCCTCCTTTGTAACACTGCATCGTTTCTGGATGGGCTGGTTTCCTGACGATTCGCGTGTTCCTACCAGCTCATCCAGGAAGAGTCCCCAGGCGAATTGCATGGATCAGGGAGGCAACGTCCTGTGGCGTGAATGTCCCCAAACGCCCTGTGTTGCGTTCATCCCCGCATGGTTCCATGTTGGGGCCTCCACGCGGCGTCCTGTGGTGTAGTCGTCTCCAGACGTCGCTACCTCGCGGTGACACTGCTGACACATCGCCGTGTCACCAGGGCGTCGGCTCAAGCAAGGGTTATGTCGGGCATGTCCCCCTACAGGCGGATGTTGGACGATACATTCAAAATACCGCAAAAAAATATCCACACAAAAACATATATATATATATATATACATGTACATGTACGAGAGACTATGTATTACTATTTGTGTATATTCCTCCTGTAGAAAGACGTGCCCGACTTAAAGCAACGGTCGACCGTAAAAAGCGTCGGATTATCCGCCACCGTGCCTTCAACACGCAGGGGAGTGTCCCAAGGCTCACGCAGCCCGGAGGAGTACGGGCTTTAAGATCGGGCCTGTTCCCCTACAGGGGAGGGGGATGTTGGACGAAAAATCAAAAGAATGAAAAATACCATAAAGTACTCAAACATGGTATGAATATATATATATATATATATATATATATATATATATAATAATAAAAAACAAAAAATGTCCCCTCACTATTTTTTGACTATTTTTGGAGGGCGCGCCGCTGGATGTCCCCAAGGGAGGGGGGGGGGTGGAGGGGAACCCCTCCCCCCCCCTCCCTTTCCTCGATCCGTCGTCGGGGACCCCCCCCCCTTCCCCGATCCGTCGTCGGGGACCCCTCCCCCCCACCTCCCCCTCGTTCCTGGTCCGTCGTCGGGAACCCTCCCCCCTCCCTCCCTTTCAAAAGGGGAGGGGGACCCCCCCCCCCCCCCCCCCCCTCCTTTCGCCACGCCGCCCCCTGACTCCGGAACCCGACCCCTGCCACCCCTACCCTCAGTCTTCACCCTAACCCAAACCCCTAATCCTAACCCCAACCACTAACCCCAGCCCCAAAGAGTACTCACTACTCATTACTCACTACCCACAACTGGCTACTCGCTACTCGCTACTCATTTCTCACTACCCACTACTCACTACTCACGACTCACTACTCACTATCCACTACTCACTACCCACCACCCACTACTCGCTACTCACTACCCCCTACTCACAACTCCCTCCTCCCTACTCACTACTCACTACTCACTCCTCACTACCCACTACCCAATACTCACCACTCACTAATCACTACTCACTACTCACTACTCACTACTCACTACTCACTACTCATTACCCACTAACCAGTATCCACTACTCACTACTCACTACTCATTGCCCACAAATCACTACTCACTACCCACTACTCGCTACTCGCTACTCCCTACTCCCTACACAATACTCACTATACAGTACCCAGTACTCACTACTCGCTACGCCCATACTCGCTACTCAATACTCACTACTCACTCCCCGCTACCCACTACTCACTACTCACTACTCCCTACTCACTAGTCGCTACAGAGTCTCTAGTCACTAGTCACTAGTCACTAGTCACTACTCACTACCCACTACCCACTACTCACTACTCGCTACTCACTACCCACTACTCGCTACCCACTTATTACTACTCCCTGCTCACTACTCCCTACTCCCTACTTTCTACTCCTACTCACTACTCACTACTCACTACTCGCTACCCGCTACTCCCTACTCGTTACTCACTACTCACTATCCACTACTCACTCCTGACTACTCCCTACTCACTCCTCACTACTCACTACGCCCTACTCGTTCCTCACTGCTCACTACTCGCTACTCCCTACTCGCTACTCACTACTCACTACCCACTGCCCACGACCCACTACTCTCTATTCATCACTACTCACTACTCACTACTCACTACTCACTGCTCACTACTCGCTACCCTCTATTCACCATTCACTACTCATTACTCACTACTCATTACTCACTACCCACTACTCACTACGCACTACGCACTACCCACTACTCACTACTTACTAATCACTACTCGCCACCCACTACTCACTACCCACTACTCACTACCCACTACTCATTACTCCCTACTCCCCACTCAGTCCTCACTACTCGCTAATCGCTACTCACTACTCACTACTCAATATTCGCTACTCACTACTCACTTACCAGTACAGACTGTTCGCTATTCACTACTCACTACTCCCCACTCCCTACTCCCTACTCCCTACTCGCCACTCACTACCCACTACTCACTACCCAATACTCACTACTCAATACGCACGAACTCACTACTCACTACTTCCTACTCCCAACTCCGTACTCCCTACACACCTTCTCTGGCGCAGACCAAAAAAAAGCGAGAGAGGCCCCCCTCCCCGGCTCCCTTTCCGGCGCAAAGGGGGGAAGGGGGGGGGTCCGACCCCCCCCCCTCTTTCCAGCGCCAGGAGGGGAGGGTGGGGGGTCCGGACCCCCCCCCCCTTCAAGGGGGGAGGGGGGGGGGTCGGACCCCCCCCCTCCTTTAGGAAAGGAGGGGGGGGGCGAAAATCTCACCCCCCCTTGGAAGGGGGGGAGGGTTCTGCGAGCACACACCCCCTTTTCAATTACAGGGTGATCCAGTGGCGCGCTTTCCTATTTTTGAATATTCTCCCTGTAGAGGGACAGGCCCGGCGTAAGCCTAGACCAAGGCTCGCGCAGCCCTGAGGGCTGCGGGTTTCGTCGGGCTCCCAGGGGCCCAGGCCCCCGATGCCCTGGGCAAGTCCGGGCAGGCGCGCGGGCGCCGCGGGGGCGGGAATATTCCCCCTGTAGAGGGACGGGCCCGGCGTAAGCCTAGACCAAGGCTCGCGCAGCCCTGAGGGCTGCGGGTTTCGTCGGGCTCCCAGGGGCCCAGGCCCCCGATGCCCTGGGAAGTCCGGGCAGGCGCGCCTGGGCGCCGCGGGGGCGGGTCGCGTGGGCCTCGGGGAGGGCCCCCTCCCCCTCCTCGTCCTCCTCGTCCTCCCCTTCTGCCCCCAGAGGGGGGGGAGCGGCCCGCCTCCTCCCTCCTCCTCCCTCCTCCCTCCTCCCTCCTCCTCCTCCTCCTCCTCTCTCCCTCCTCCTCCTCCTCCTCCTCCTCCTCTCCTCCTCCTCCTCCTCCTCCTCCTCCTCCTCCTCCTCCTCCTCCTGACTCAAGACTCAAAAGGTCAAGACGAGCAGAACACTAAAGCACGCTAAAGTGGGCACAGCTCAAATCCGACCGAAAGAGAGAG